AACTCTCCTATTGATTGAATGCCGGGGTTTGAAGGAGAACAGCACACCACATGATTCGTTTGAATACACTGATGAAGGTAAACATGCCGTGCTACTGGGGTACTCATGACGGGATGACTTTCGTCGTCAGCGGTTGTCGCTGAGCTGCACGCTACAACTTCGCTTGTGTTGTAGCTTGTTAGCCGTGGATTGAATGAATCTTGATTACCGGTTAAAAAGTTGCTCATTTGGCGTTGGTAATCTTTATTTGGAACTGGGTAACGTAGCAACATCGGCAACAGAACCTCCTGGTACTTCGATGTTGATGGTTGCGCCTCCATGGCAATCGCTAATTTTACTGCGGGGGATCTTCCAAGAGCCCTCAGGGTTTATAAAACTCAACATACATCAAGTTCTCACAATCGTAGTATTCCATGTGATGTACACTTAATATGCCAAAAATGTTGCTGAACGATTTGAACTGGATAAAAATAGCAGATGAAAATTTGTATACAAAAAAAGCAATATGTTTTTGGCTGTTACCATGGCAGGACATGAACGTGAAGCTAAGGTTGGTTTATAACTATAATCGGGCACCGTATACGAAGTGTGTAAAAAAAGTCACTTTATTTTATTGCTAGGACGTATTCTACTGTTAAATATATTATTTCCAGCATTTTGGAGGCAGCATTTACATTTCATTCAAAGTTGCGTTGGGATTATGTTGATACAGTGTAACAATGTCGGCACCGGTGTGCAACGTAGCCAAAATAAAAGGCATGATCATTTTAAATAAACACTGCTATTACAAGACTGGTAGGAGGTAATACATTTGGGGCGAAAGTATTCAAAAAACTGTTTTTGGCTGTTGCCATGGTAGTTGTGGGCCAGGATTGTTTTTCCAATTAGTGACGGTACAACCTGCCTGTCATGTATGAACAAAATTAGCCAAGCCAAAACAAATATCAGAGAGGAGTTAAAAGCTGTTGCTGGTGAAAAGTTATCCCAACGTTGGGGTCCATTTTCTCGGTAATGAAAATAGACATAACAAAACAGTAAATTGTTGCCCACACTCAAGCTGAGTAGAATGAGCTATGTCCATGCTTTTTAATCATAGAAATTTAGGGTGTGATACATTTGGCGTGAAGGTATTAAAAGAATCAGTTTTTGGATGTTGCCATGGAAACGGTGGCCAGAATTTGTTTTCAGATTTTACAAAAAGTAACTTTGTGCCCACACTCAAGCTGAGTAAAATCAGCTATCTCGGAGGTGTTGTATCCTAAATTTGTTGGAGGAGATACATTTAGCGTGAAACTATCAAAAAATCAGTTTTTTGGCTGTTGCTATGGGCCGTTTTCCCCCCAGTTTGAGCGAAATCGGCCAAGTCAAGACACACAAAAGTGATTTTAAGGGTAATCCCAGTGGAGCGGATCGCCAACACCATGTTCATTTGCATATTGACCGTGAAAAAACCAAAAACATTATTGCATTGATGATATGCAAATTAGTTTTAGTCGTGATAAGTGACTGCCTAGAAGTATCATTACTTTTGTTCAAATTTTATTTCACTCGGCAAGTATATTCATGAACCCAAGGGTAAAATATCGTACTTCTAAATATAGTTTATTTCTGTTATGTTTCGAAAAACGCTACTCTTGAAAGGACTACTTTGTTTGCTCTAAGACCTCATTTGCATACGTGGTGTTGAAATACCGATTTTGATTTCAGGGACGAATCAAAATAAACTGCAGTACATGTGTGATAATGTGAAATACTTCATTTTCACTATAAACATTTTCCACTAAAATAAATTCCAGTGAAAATGCCATTTCCCTCATACTTTATTGACACAGCACAGTGAAAATTAGATTCACACGTAATGTTTGAAAATGAAAATAAATTAAGTGAAATTTTATGTGACTTCATGAGAGTTGGAAATGAACAAATTATATGACACCCAACCCTACCACTCCATGCACAGTGTAAACTACACCCCCAAAACATCCATTCACCAATGTATTCTATTTGACTTCAGGAGAAATTGAAATAAACAAATTATATGACAACGAACTAAATTATAATTTCAGCTTCAGTTCAGCACTGATTAAATAAACTACCTTGTCTTTATGACAACTTGAAGTTATTTAATGCCTACATTAGTGACTTTAAAATCTATGTTTCAATCCCAGGAATTTCACTTGCTATTAATTGCATAGGTTGCCAGTCTTTCATGCTTTTCTATTGTAATGTCAATTTCTTGCGATTACTCGGAACATGAAGCTGTAACCACAGACCGTCTAGGTGCTGTAACTAAATCCTGGTATAAGCACCGGTTAGGCAGGCTTGAGCTATGTATGTGAAGCCAGCTGAGAGGTATATCCAATCCAATAGATTTCTCATTGTTTGGTAACTATTTGCTGCAAATGCAACAATCAATATAAAAATATTACCCACACAGCATTCTACAGGTTACTTGTTAGACACAGTATTGTTTACTATATACAAACTGTTT